GACTAGCGTAGGGAGCAGTTTATAGACCCTGCCCAAGGGACTGAGAGCACGTAGTCGCAGCTGCGGGCGCAGTGCACTACAGCGGGCGCAGTGCACTACATTTGGGGGCCGTTCCGGGAACTTTTACTGAAATATTTGTTTCTTCGACCCTGCAAAATGAAATACGACGTCTGAATGACTGTCAACTAGAAATCTTCGCTCGGTAAGGGATGCATCTCCGCAACGGACGCGTCATCGGCCCCACTCCGCAGGAGACTCCATCAATGTCAGTCAACAGAATGCCCAGCGGGACACCCGCCCATCATCGCCACGCGACTCCAAAGCCCACCGTGGCAGAGCGGCCGCATGGGCATAAGGAGGCGCACCCACAGGCGATACCTCTGCCCAATGCTGTACAAGGAGACTGTCCCTTCGTCTCGTGGGAACAATTCCAGTCGGCTTTGAGTGCGCTAAGAACCGTTATGGGGGGGACCGTGGAACCCGGCGAAAGGACTCCCATCCTACCAGAAGACGGCAGCACAATGCAGGCCTTTCTGCTGCGCATCGAGCGCCGGTACGCGCTGAAGGGAATGGAGCCGCGTGAGTGGGGAAACGCACTTATAGACAATCTCGTGGGGCCGGCTCTAACGTATTGGATGTATCTACAGCGAACTTTCGATCTAAGCGACTGGACGACCGTAAAGCACCGGCTTTTGGAACGGTTTAACAGAACAATGTCACAGAGCGAACTGCTAACTGAGTTGGCTAAAGTGCGGTGGAATGGTAACCTGAAGGAATACACGGGCCGGTTTGCGACTGTAGCGGAGCGGGGCATGAGTCTTACCCCTGCCGAACTCGCGGACTACTCCTGCACAGGGCTACCGACTGACCTCCATCTCTCAATAACTAATGGTGGACAAGTGAAATACCTGACGTGGGAACAAGCGGCGACAGCCGCAACTCGGCTCTACGAGCCCAAGCAGAGTGTGCTGGAACTCCGACAAAGGACCAGTCGAGCCATTAGGGCTGCCATGCAAGCTAATGGACCCCGTGGGCGCCAGGAAATTGAAAATCGCTCTGGGGGAACCCGAGGAAACTGTTTTGAGTGTCAGGGTCGCGGACACCCGGCACGCGTCTGCCCCAGCAAAGGGGAACGTACCAAGCGTCCGGGGGAAACATGCAAGAAGTGTGGAGGTGTGGGACACTATGCTCGGGACTGTCCCACGTATGAACGCGGCCGGTCCGAGCCGGTGGACAAGAGCAGTAGAGCGACCGCCCGTCCTAACACTGAAATGACGGAGCGATTAAACTTGCGGGCCTAGGCGTAGTTGGAGACGAGCGTTCTAGGCCGCGTAGTCATGGCAAGGGGATGATGTGCGCGGTGGCGACAGGCCCCAATGCCATTCCAGTCTCCTTTGAGAGGAGAAACCGACTCCTCAGCACTGTGGAAGGAACTAATACGAGCAAGGAACACGAGGAAGAGACTCGACCGCTCTCGGAATTGCGGTGGAAGTCTGGGCCAACGTCGATCCTGAGTGAGGAGACTCCGGACGCGACGACTGATAGCCGCAGGAAGTCTGCGGAGGCAACACAGGAAGGCCATGGGTCAGACGTGACAGAGATTCTGCCACACTGGTGGAGGGAGACTTACATGAAAGAGTCTTACGACCAAGGGGGGGCGTTGTGCTGTGTGGGTGCGACGGCAGTACTTCGCGTTGAGCTTGTAGGGAGCCCATGCGAGGCCCTCTTGGACACTGGAGCGTCACGAAGTTTCATTAGTCCCAGAACAGTCGAACGTCTGCAGCTGAAGGTACGGATGCTCCCCAGGGAACATAGGTTCACTGTGGCCACAGGTGCACAACTACGCATTGACAGGGTTGTAACGGGACTGACGTTGTGGTGTGGACACGCACGTTTTTCCGGGGACTTTCTAGTGGGACCCGTTCCCTATGACTTAGTCTTGGGCTTGGATTGGCTGACGGAACACAAGGTGGCCTGGTATTTTCAGTCGGACAAGCTCCGAACCTATGTGAATGGCCAGTGGTGCGAGTTACCGGTCGTTCGGACTGGCGAAGCAACGCTGCGAGGTGACAGTTCCATCGCAGCCCAACCAAAGACCCCTGCAGAACAAGCGTATGAGATACTGGCAAAGCAAGTGGCGGGTATGTCTGCCGAGGAGGCCGCCATATTCTTACGCCCACCTCCAAGGAGGTATAAACCCCACGCGAAGAAGAAGGCGAAGGCGCGGATAACGTCGCTCGTTCGTCAAGCAGCTGAGGACACAAAGGATCTCAAGGCTCCAATGCACGGTTTGCACCTCATACTCGCTTTGCCCGAAGCCGGTCCGGCAATGCCCCTAAGGCTCGCGGATGAGTGGCAAGGCGCGTTTTGCTGCGCGTTAATCGGGACTCAACCCGCGTCCTCCAGTTGGCACAGTCCTTCGGCCATAACCGACGCGGGGGCAAGCCTCTCACTGCTCCTCAGGGGGACCGGAGTCCGTGTTGA